CCCCAAAACCCCAAAACCCCAAAACCCCAAAACCCCATGATCTAACAATAATGTTACTCTGAAGGCTTAGTTAAATAAATATTTGGATTTATTATCATTGGGATCCGATATATTTGCTACTACAATTATTCTTATCCCTTGATTCCTCTGCATCAAAATTTAATTGAATAGGCTGATATCTCCCTAATGGATTCTCACTTAATTCGCATTCTTATGTCTTTTGCTAAATAGTAAACTTTCTAGCATTTTTCTAAAATTTATCTTTGAAAAAAGATATTAACAAGCAAGTGAACCCAGAAAACGCTGTAAGTATTGAAATAACTAAGAGAATATCTTTCCAATATGTAACCTTTGCTACATATGTGGAGCCTGCAAATCCGACTCTAAGATTTTCGTAGTCAAATACAGCGTAGTAATTAATCAAAAATATATCACCTAAAATCCAAAATCCAGATTTCTAAGTAAACTTCTATTGTTGTATCCTAAAGTAGCACTTTAAATTCTGTTTATCCAGATAACTAGTAGATGGTATATGATATGTATTTGCCCCAATTGTAACTTATAAATCATCAAAATCAGAATGACTCGTAGTATAGCAAGAACAATAATAGAGATCGGTTTTGCCAGTATCTGTGCTACAATCCAAGCCTTTACCAGCAAGATATTATTTGAATTCTGAAAAATCATCAGTCGGCATGAGGATGTATGATGTACCTGAATCAATGATAACTTTATTAGTGTCTAGCTTGAATTGATAATTTCCAATTTTAGCAGAATTTAATTAAAGTGTCCAGTAATTAATATCAACAAGAGTATTCCAAGTTAGACTTTAATTTTCTCTTGCATATTTCAAATCATAGCCTCCAAAAATGATTTTTGACTTTTCATCTTACCCCCCAAAGCTGATAGAGAATACTCTTTCGTTTATTATTCCATTCATGAATAGTTTATCTATGAAGAGATCTGATTGTGTAAATTAAGTGCTTGGAGCTAATCCAATAATACCATCACACTATAATCCAGATAAATCTGTTGCTTAATCTACTGCTAGAAAGTTGTAGTTAATAATGCAAGTCTCAGGTTTATTTTTTTCTAGGCATACTTAGTCTTAAGATTTGTAACCCCAAACATTTCCAGCACCATATCTCACATTTAAAGGTGTTGTACCAACCTGTCGATATTTGTAAGATTTTTTAGTATCATATAATTTAGCCTTAGTGTGACAGTCTTTGCAGTTCTGACTTGGTACCCACAGCCATGAAGAGCCTGTATCAAATATCAAGGTCATCTCCTCTTATTAAGAACCCATAAATAGTTTCCCATAGTATTGAACATTGTAGTAATTCTGCAAATCTTTCTCAATGACTCCTTTCTTTATATCATCATCAGCATAGAGCTCATTTGTAAATTGTTGTTCTGGGCCATGAGCAGTCGAAAATATTCTTTAATTTCGTGGTTTAGTCGGAATAAGCTCAGGCTCTTATTTCATAACTTCTCTAAATAGTTAAACCTCTAAAATTTGGTAACTCTGCTAGACTAATATAGAAATCAGAAAAATTTATAAGAAGATGCTTTTAAGTACTCTTTTATATGACATTGGTTATTGATTGCCTGTTTATTAATTAATTTTATATTTTTGATTATTTTTATTTTAAAATTAATGAACTTTATGGGGTTTTGGGGTTTTGGGGTTTTGGGG